CTATTCATTCTCTTCCAAGTTGAATGACCATTCATCAACTTTAAAACCATGATTTAAGCATTTAAGTATTCCACGTTCCTACAACATAGAATAAAAAAAAGAAAAAAAAAAGAATTAGTAAAGTTGAAACAAAATTTAAAACATTAAATTAATGTAAGACAATGACTTACATCATTATGCCAAATTTTGGTTGCTACGTGACAACGGAAACTCTTCAAAATCGAAGGATCATATGGCCCTCCAGGAAAAGGTTCAGTAAGATCATCATTAACTTTTTCAGTTTTATCTGCTGGTTGGTCTTCATAGTCAGCCATGTCTGTTGGTTCATCACCCGGATCATCACCTATGTCTGTTGGTTCATCACCCAAATCATCACCCATGTCACTCACATTCAATCGATTGCCCCCATCGTTTTCAACCTCAACTGTTTTTGCTAGAGCAACACCTATGTCATTCATGTCATGTTCATTAACTCCACTACCTTGATCCTTAATCTTACGAGTACGTCGAGGTCTCTTAGCCACTTTTTGAGAAAGTATAACATTACATCTCCTAAATGCTTTTGGGCGATCTCGAGCAGTTTCCACCATAGCTATCCACCAGGTACAATTAGATGTTAGTCAATGGCAATGTAAGCAAATATATCCAATGTCAATTACCCTTAACAATACAGTTAGTCCTTCCCATGTATCGAAAATGTATGTCATCTAAGGACATTATATATATAACTTATAAGCCATTGAAGCCTATCTTAAATAGGTGTGTCGTGACCAATTCAAATAGGAAACAACAAACTAAGATAGTTTCTTACCAAACACAAAATGAATAAACGATAAAAAGAAACTACTAAAAATAAGCTATTTGAGTTGGACCAAAATTTGAGAATTGTAATGCATTAGAAGCATGCTAAGAGGAAAGCCATCAAAAACAAAAATTCCTAAATAAAATTATAGACAAGAACAAAGCTTTTCCAAAAAAATGCAAAAAATTTGAGAGCCTAAACAATGGAATTTGGTATTAAAAACAAAAAAGGCTTAGTACACATCAAAAGTTGTGTGTTTTGCTTCTTAGGACATTTTGGATTGATTATAAGTACTTAAAGAAAATTCAACATTGGCCCAAAGCCTATAGTTGCAATATAATTACATGCATCTCCAAGTTGATATAATGTGCTAAAATTAGCATTGTTTTCAAACAACCTACCTATCTCTTGTTAGGTTTATGATGTGTATTGTGCTAATTAGAGTTAGTTTATGTGGAAGACAACTAGTACAAGTGACTATAAGTTGATGTATGAAAATACATGGAAAAGAAGCTAAAAATGTGAATTAAATAATCTGGCTGGTTGTTGCCCTGTTTGCCTCATCTTTCCCTTCTTTTTTTTTGCAGAAAATTCAGATATAAGTTTTATACTATATGTACAGTACAGACATAAAAGGGACAAAACCAATGGCAATGGCAATGACAATGGCAATGCCTTACAACAACAGAAAAGGGACAATTTTATACTATATGTACAGTACAAACATAAAAACCTCACACTTAAAAAAGCAACTGGTCCCAACACTTCAAAACAAAGGATCAACATAACAAATTTTATTTTCTTTACGCACAAAGAAACACAACCAAAATACCCAACACTCCAAGACAAAGGATCAGTCAAACATATTTTCTAAAAGACAAAGGGTTCTAATATTTTTTATTTTATTTTATTTCTAGTTGGTATGTAGACTTCTATTACATTATAATATTCAAGCCATCCATTAGATTATAAAATTCAGACCTCTATTCCCAAAAAAATTTAAATTTTATGTGGAATCAGGCCATCCATTACATTATAATATTCCCTCACAATTAAGGTTTTGTGTGGTTGTGGATTTAGTTGGTAAAGGGTTTTTTGTTTGTGTGGTTATGATTAATTGAAAAGAAAAAAGAAGTAAATTATACCTTTGATGGTAGATGAAAAAGTCCACAACACTTGTAAGAAAGAAGAAGTAAATCGTACCTTTGTGTGGTTATGATTCAAAAGTGTTAAATTTCTGAACAATTGCAGCAACACTTGATTCGAAAGTGTTAAAGCACTTGTAAGGGGGGAAAAAAAAAAGTTTTGTCCCAAGCACTTCAGCAGCAAAATGGATTCAATCGGTGTGGAGAAGATGAATACAATAGACCGACGGTCAGGGAATGAGAGGTATGAAAAATTAGGTGGGTGTGCATTTGATTGTGAAAATATTATGAATATGGGTAGATTTGGTAATAAGTGAGGTGTCCAAAAAAATAATATTAAAATTTAGGGTTTAGGGTTAGGGTCCAAATAAATTAGGGGTCCAAAGAATTTTGGCAGGTGCTAATAGCAGCACTCTTTAGATTAGAGGCGAGAAATGGATTTGGATTAGAGGCTGTTTGGGGATTTTATGGGCAATTTGGGAAGATTAGTTTTTTAGTTTTTTAGCATTTTTAGATAAATGCTGCTATTGGTACTTGCCAAAATTCTTTAGACCCCCTATTTCTTTGGACCCCAAACCTAAACCCTAAATTTTAATAATATTTTTTTGGACACCCCTACTTATTATCAAATTTACTTGTATTCATAATATTTTCACAATCAAATGCACACCCACCCAATTTTTCATACCTCTCCTTCCCTGACCATCCGTCTACTCTATTCATCTTCTCCGCACCGATTGAATCCATTCAAAGTGTTGCTGAAAGTGCTTGGGGACATTGCTTTATTTATTTTTTTCTTTTTTCTTACAAGTGCTATTGAAATTCGTTTAGTGGAAATTCAACACTTTCGAATCGAACTGGCATTACAATGCTGAGACAAGCTGTAGACTTTTTCATCTACCATCAAAGGTATAATTTATTTCTCCTTTCTCTTCAATCAATCATAACCACGCAAACAAAAAACCTTTACCAACCACAACCATAACCACACAAAACCCTAATTATGGAAGAATATTATAATGTAATGGATGGCCTGATTCCATATAAAATTCATTTTTTTGGGAATAGAGGTCTGAATATTATAATCTAATGGATGGCTTGAATATTATAATGTAATAGAAGTCTACATACCAATTAGAAATAAATTTTTTAAAAAAATATATTAGAACCCTTTGTCTTTTAGAAAATTTGTTTGGATGATCATTTGTTTTGGAGTGTTGGGACTAGTCGCTTTTTTAAGTGTGAGGTTTTTATGTCTGTACTGTACATATAGTATAAAATTGTCCATTTTCTGTTGTTGTAAGGCATTGCCATTGCCATTGGTTTTACCTCTGTTTTCTATAATAAGCTTTAGAAGTACTTCTTTTCATAATTTTTTTTTTTAATTTTTTTGTTTTTGGTGTTACTTTTATTACTTAAACATTAAATAGTTGTGAGGTTAGGTTAGATATTGTTATACATTGTTTGTTGTAAATGACAAACCAGAAATTGTCAACAAAGAAAAGGGCACTTGACTTTGTAATTGTACCCTATTTGAGCCAAAAAAGTTATGTTTTTCTGGCAATTGGTAAGATTTAAACTCATCGTGTTGGGGATGAGAATTTTGTAAGACAAACCGTTGAATGATTAACTCTTCAAAGATCAATTACATACATCGGCTAATTTGTTTAGGTTTGATGGTTGATTGGAATCTCTAACAAATGTCTTTCATTGGCCTGACTGATCTTTTGAGAAATATTTTTAGCTTTTTTGTACTACAGTCTAACTTAGCACACAATAATGGTTGCTAGAGTTATTTGCAGAATTTTAAATAAATTTCAAGTATATATTTGTTTGGTGGGTAAGAAGTAAGAAAATGAAAATTTAGACTTCTATTACATTTGAATTTTCTTTCACATAAAAAACTTATATAAGAATTTTCTACAGTCAAAAATGGGGTGTAAAGAGGAGGCAAACAGGGCAGCAACCAGCCAGTTTATTTAATTCACATTTTCAGCTATTTTTCCATGTATTTTCATACATCAACTTATAGTCACATAATCACACAACACTTGCACTAGCTGTCTTCCACATAAACTAACTCTAATTAGCACAATACACATCATAAACCTAACAAGAGGTAGGTGGATAATTTGAAAACAGTGCTAATTTTAGCACATTATATCAACTTGGAGATGCATGTGATTATATTGCAACTATAGGCTTTGGGCAATTGTTGAATTTTCTTTAAGTACTTATAATCAATCTGAAATGTCCTAAGAAGCAAAACACACAGCTTTTGTTGTGTACTAAGCCTTTTTTGTTTTTAATACCAAATTCCATTATTTAGGCTCTCAAATTTTTGCACTTTTTTTGGAAAGCTTTGTTTTTGTCTATAATTTTGTTTAGGATTTTTTTTGTTTTTAATGGCCTTACTATTGGCATGCTTCTAATGCATTACAATTCTCAAATTTTGGTCCAACTCAAATATTTTATTTTTAGTAATTGCTTTTTATCGTTTATTCATTTTGTGTTTGGCAAGAAACTATCTTAGTTTGTTGTTTCCTATTTGAATTTGTATATTTTCTAAAGCTGTCTCTAATTGATATCTACATACATAAAAATACATGTATATATACTTCTGACCATGCATGTTTTTTTGCTTCATTGGTCATGACACACCTATTTAAGATAGGCTTCAATGACTTATAAGTTATATATATATATATATATATATAATGTCCCTGGATGACATGCATTTTCGATACATAGGAAGGATTGACTATATTATTAAGGGTAATTGACATTGGATATATTTGTTTACATTGTCATTGACTAACATCTAATTGTATTTGGTGGACAACTATGTTGGAAACTGCTCGAGATCACCCAACAGCATCTAAGAGACGTAATGTTGTACTTTCTCATAAAGTGGCTAAGAGACCTCGATGCACTCGTAAGACTAATGATCAAGGTAGTGGAGTTAAAGAACATGACATGAATGACATAGTGCTGCTCTAACGAAAACGGTTGAGGTTGAAAACAATGGGGGCAATCAATTGAATGTGAGTGACATGGGTGATGATTTGGGTGATGAACCAGCAGACATAGGTGATGATCCGGGTGATGATCCAACAGACATGGGTGACTATGAAGACCAACCAGTAGATACAACTAAAAAAGTTTATGAAGATCTTATTGGACCTTTTCCTGGAGGGTCGTATGATCCTTTAATTTTGAAGAGTTTCATTGTCACGTCGCAGCAAAAATTTGGCATAATGATATAAGTTATTGTCTTACATTAATTTAATATTTTAAATTTTGTTTCAACTTTACTAATTCTTTTATTTTTTTTATATATATATTTTTAATTCTATGTTGTAAAAACGCAGAATACTTAAATGCTTAAATTATGGTTTTAAAGTTTGTGAATGGTCATTTAACTTGGAAGAGAATGAACAGTCCAAATTTCATGGTTTCATTATGGATTCGGGGTTGATTTTTTTAGTGAGTTGCTCATATAAATTTGTAAACAAATTTGTAATTTCGGCCTTTGTGGAAAGATGGCAGCCAGAAACAAACACGTTTCATCTACCATTTGGTGAGATGTCACCAACCTTAGATGATGTTAGTGTAATTTTAGGGATTCCAGTGATTGGTAAACCAGTCTCTTGCAAGAAGTTATCAAATGTTAACGCTGCAAATCTGCTAGTTGAGGCTTTGGGAGTAATAATAGATGAGGCAAATGTAGCGTTGAAGGTAGCACAGGGCCAGTCTATCAAGGTAGAATCATTGAGACAACGATTTGGGTCAGTGTCTAATGCAGACAATGATAATACCATTGACTGTGCAGCTAGGGCATATTTGTTATATTTGTTAGGTTGTACCTTATTTGCAAACAAGACTGGCACACGTGTTCCGGTAGTGTATTTGTCCTTTCTTATGGATTTGCGATCGGTTGTTTCTTATGCTTGGGATGCAGCCGCATTGGCTTTTTTATACCGGCAATTGGGTACTGCCATAAGGTATGCCGTGAAACAAATGGCGGGATACATGACATTGCTGGAAGGTTGGATTTATGAGCATTTTGTTGGTGCTAGACCCCTCCCCAATTTGGACAATAAAGAAGATTAGCCTCGTGTTTTTCGTTGGATTTCTCGCACCCAATCTGGTTCGTCAACGTCTATTTTACAAAGGTTGCGAGAGGACCTCGATAGATTAGAGGCCTATGACGTAAGTGTCAATCTTATGTCAATGTATGTGCATATTACGTGTTATTATTCAACCTAATTCATAACTTACATATAAAATTTTTACTATTATAGGTTATTTGGGATCCATACCATGATAAGCGTACTAAGCATCCTTTTTCTGATGTTGCTTACTATAGTGGATGCTTAAAATGTATGCATATTGTTGAACCAGACCATCCAGATAGGATGCTGAGACAGTTTGGTAGGGTGCAAATTATTCTCTTACCTCCACTTGCTCCAGTTCGAGCCTCTAGAGGATCCACTGCAAAATAGTACAACATTGCCTATAAATACTTGGATACGATTTGGAAGGGTTGAGAAAATCACTTGTTGCCTAAGACAGCGCTTAGTGTTTTAGTCTTGCATCCATGGGATTGTGTGGCAGGTTACTTGGACTGGTTTACTTCTATTTCACACGTGCAAGTTCATAACCCAACACATCGTTCTAAGTATAACCCACGCATTGAGACATATGCTGATTATCATCAACTTCAATTCGTATGCCAATTTTTACCGTTTTCATTTTCATATATATTTTGTTTAAGGCAATTGTTAAGTTTTATTTTATTGTTCGCAGCGCATTGACAGTGCCTTGAGCATTTCACATTCAAAGCTCGAAATTGGATACAATGAAGCAGTTCCCCCCCGAGATATGTTATGTAATGCTATGAAGAAGATAACACAAGTCTTGGAGGGCCAACAATCCACTGAAGAACATACACCATCAGAGAACTTGGTGTACACTTGTCGCAGGAATTGTGGAGCAACGTCTTAGACTTTAGTATTTGTTGGGTTCAAATGTTTTAAATATGTATTTTGAAATCTTAGTTTCAAACATATGTTAGACTTTTTGATGGTGCTAGACACGAGCATAACAAAGGTCAGATAACACTTTAGTATATGTTAGTTTGTCTGAGAAACATTTTTGGCATACATTTTGATAGCGGTTTGTATATGTAATAACCCTCACCGCTGTTTACTGATAAGCCATTGATTACTGTTAAACTGAGGCTAAATGTGTTAATTGACTGACTGACTGAAAACTGAAGCCGAATTGATTAAGTATATTAGTTAAATTACAATTCTATCTGTTTGCCTGCCAAATTATCTGTTCATGTTTTTGTGTTTAAACTGCTAATTGAAGGCCTTATCGGCGGCCGGATCTGAAATTGATTGATGTTCTGTGTCAATTAGATTTTATGTGATTTTATGGTGTATTTAATTAAAAATGTGTTTTGGTATGATTAAATTGGATCAATATTGATAAATGGCATAAGTTGCATTATTTACCAAAAAGCCATATTGGTGGGCCACTATCTAAGACATATTGAAGCTTCATTACACCTAAACACAACATTTGCTCTGTCTATTTGAGAGGCAAACCGACTGAGAGAGAGAGAGTTAGGAGATTGAATTGTTCTTGAGGGTTTTGCTTGAAAACTTGAGGAAATTGTAGAAGACTTGCAACATCGAGCCTCCATACCTCTAATTCAAGACTTAAGGTAGAATAATTGCCTTCTTAATTGTGTATTTAAGTTCTATCTAGCATGGATCATGATAGTTTAAAGAGCTAAGTCAAAAATTGGAAAAGATTGTTGAATTAAGGCTTAATTGTTGCATGCATGTCTATATCCTTGCATTTTGATGTTGATTTCATGGCAATTGGTGCATGCATGTTCATATTATTGTTATAGACCATGATTTCATCTTGTTTTTGTAAGAGTTGGCTCACTAGAGCATGTATTTGAGGCTTGGAAGTTATTTAAAGTCATGCATGTCCCATGTTTATCTTGTTCATGAAAATTGGTGTGAAATTGGGTTTAATTCCCTCACATTTGGGCCTTGATTTTACAAATTGAGCTTTAAATCATGTCATACTATGTATTTACAAGTGTTTTCTAGGAAATGGGCCCAAAGGAATCGAATTTGTTACATTTGAACTTGATTTGAGCTTGAGGTTCAAATCTGGGAATTCCAGATTTTGAACTCACGCTTGAGCGGACTGACTGGTGCTCGAGCATGAAATTCGTGCTCCCAGCACTTCACACTGTTTTGAAGTCCGCTCGAGCGGGGTAATTTACGCTCGAGCGGCTGTCGAGCGCCCGTCGAGCGTAAATTTTGAGCATCCGTCCGGAGGCAGGGCTCACGGCCGCGACTCTGAAACTTCTGAACGAGCACATTATGTAGTATCACCGAGCGCTCAACTGGTGACGTCTAAGTCTTAAGGTCGGTCAAAAATGGGGTGTCTACACTAGTGCTCGAGCGTGAAATTCGTGCTCCCAGCACTTTACACTGTTTTGAAGTCCGCTCGAGCGGGGTAATTTACGCTCGAGCGGCTGTCGAGCGCCCGTCGAGTGTAAATTTTGAGCATCCAGCACTTTTGGCATGTTTTGCATCCCGCTCGAGCGGAGTAGTCCACGCTCGAGCGGGTATCCTTTGTCTGCATGTTCGCGCAAGCAGAGTAATTGACGCTCAAGCGTGACCCCCTGTTTTCTGAAAATTCTGAAAATGCTTTTAAAATGCATCTTTGCATCCTCATTTCATCCTAGGCATTCTTAGGCCTAGTTTAAGGCATCTTAATGAGGATATAGATATAAAACCACACCGAGTCGAGTTAGGGATTAAGTTATTATTTTCCCAACTGTATAGCTTAGTATGTGTTCACTCTGTAACTGTGTAGGGTTGGCATCTGAGGACGCGCTCTAGCTTACTGTAGCCCAGAACTCTGTGAGTAACAACTGTGTAAAGATATGTTCAAATATGATTATCTTCTGAACAATTGAACTGTACTGTTTTCTGAAATGATACTGTTACTGAATCAATGATGTCCTAATTGTGAACTGTATTGTGGCATCCTTAGCAACCTACTGTTACTGTATTGTACTGCTACTGTCACAGAGATCTCTGTCGATTCCCATGTTGGAACCACTACTGTTTACTGATATGATGGCCATCAACTGAATGTTCGGTCTGATAAGACCTACTGTACTGTTTTGCTACTGGATGTACCACATATGACTGTAATGACTGAATAATTGGTATACTGATTGAAATGATTGTTTTCAATACTGTAAGAACATTCATTCTTAACCTCTTTACGCATTATTTTATTCACTGGGATTTAGCTCATTGCTCATATATATATATATATATGTAGGCGTTCAGGCACCGGACCGTTGCTAGAAGCGTCGAGGTAAACTCCAGTTTTGTCTAGCCAACCTATGTGCCTCACTTCGAGGTTCCTGATCTGTTCAAGCTGAGGCTGCTTGGGGAGTTTTAGATTTCTCCTTTTTGCTTATAATCTGTATAGACTGAATGTTATTGTACTGTACTATTTTAACAGGGATTAAGTCCCTGTCCTGAACGATTGTAAATGTTGTATATACTGTTTTGCACTGATTGTATATATGTATGAAAGTCTTTTTGCATACAGACTGTCATAGCTCATTGGACATTGCCTATTTACTGTTTTGGCTTCCGCCATGCCCATGTACTCTGTATTATTGTTTGACTGTTAAGCAGGCCTTCGGTAATCTCGGATTACTGGCCGGTTACGGTGCTAAACCTATAGGGGCGGGTTTGGGTCATGACAGAGTGGTATCAGAGCGATACTTAACCATGAGTTATACCGCACACACGTGTCTAAACGAGCTATAGGGTGTCCTAGAAAAGCAATTAGAGCATCACATGAGCATGAAAAGTGTGTGTGGACATGACATGAATATGTGTTAATGTGTTGAAACATATAACTGCTTATGTCTAAATGTTTAAAGTATGCAACTTCCTATGTTTATTATTACTATGTTGCATATAGTGAAATGGATAATGCAAGCACTGCTAATGAAACCGAATCCTCTGAGGCAAGAATGGCGAGGTTGGCGAGAATGGTGGAATTACTAACTCAAAGACTAGAGCAACAATAGAACCAACAGCCCCCACCTCCTCCAGTACAACTAGAGCCACCTGTTAATGATGATATCATAGCTTTGACACAAAAATTTAGTAAGATGAAATCGCTATCCTTTCAGGGAGGCCTTGAACCCTTAAAGGCTGAAGCATGGGTTCTTCAAACAGAAAAATTATTTGAAGTGTTTCCGTGCTCTGAAGCACATAAAGTGTTGCTAGCTACCTTCACCTTACAAGAAGAAGCTAGAAGGTGGTGGATGTTAATCCGTGATCCAAATACTGTCATGACCTGGGCTCAATTTAAGGAGTCCTTCTTCGAAAAGTACTTCCCTTAGTGTGTCAGGGACAGAAAGGTGACTGAATTTGAACAGCTGAAACAAGGTACCATGTCCGTAGGAGAGTATGAAACAAAGTTCACCGAACTTGCTAGATATGCACCACACATGGTTGATATAGATTACAAGAAGGCCAGGAAATTTGAGGGTGGCCTTAATGTAGAAATACTCAACAGGATTAATGTACTGAAACTGCTCAAATATATAGATGTTCTTGACCAAGCCATTATGGCTGAAGCAAATATTGAAGCTTTGAAACAGACTGAAACACTCGCAACTGAGTGGCGCGGGAAGAAACGGGGTTTTAAATTCAAGAAATGTTTCTCAAAACGATTTGCCAGATTTGGACTCTTTGGTTCAGATTAAGAACCGTGACACAAATCGAGTCCGAACTGTAGCATGAGGCCCGCGGGCGCGTCTACACCGCCCTGTTCTGAATGTGGTAAGAAACACAAAGGGGTTTGTTATAAATTATCTGGTGCTTGTTACAGGTGTGGCAAGGTGGGCCACATGGTGAAAGACTGCCCCTCTGCTCCTCAAGGAATAGTAAAGCTGCAGCCAGTGGCGCAGCATCAACTGCTCCACCAAAACCCAACCCCAAAGCTACTGGGAAAGAGCCTATGAGGCAAGGCCAAGTGTT